TATATAATTATATATATATTAATAGTAAAACACACCTAGACAGTGTACGTGTGTGTACGTATATGTGTATATATATATATTATCTAAGTATAATTTTTTTTTTTTTTACACTTATAAATTTGATTTTAATTTTATTTCTAGCCAGCAGGGGGACCACCTGTAATTACAGGCAGCCCCCCTGCTGGCAATACAGAAGCCAGCTATCCCGGCCATGTGATTGTGAGGTCCTTGCGGTCACATGGCCGGGGGGCACCGGAGGAGGAGGATCTGCCGCGGGGGGGCTCCCTGGGTAAGTAAACAAAAACCGGAGGGCGTACAATTACGCCCGGCGGCGTTTAGAGCCGCTTAAAATAGGGCGTAATTGTACGCCCTCCGGTCTGAAGGGGTTAAACTAATGGAAAGCAAAAAATGGGTCGCAAGAGTATTCTGAAAACGGACAGCCGCTAAAATAGCCTGCCCTTAGGTGGGTCCCCGCTCAGAACTCTGGTTTTAGCTGGTTTTAGCTCATCTTGTGCCATTACAGAGAGAACATATCTGAAGCATATCTGACTGGTCCCACCCATACGGGCAGTCCAGATCCAAAATGCCAGCAAGTTCTCTCTCTTCTTGTTGAGTCAACATCATAGCAGGACACGACTTCAATTGGAGTCCACGGATCTGTCTGGTCATGAGTATTGACGTTAAGAATTTTGGGGTATCATTTCACATGTACCTTTATACCAGTCACTCTGTAGAAGTAGCAGCCAAAAAGCAAAACAAAATGCAGTGTGCAACGTGAGATGACACAATGGATTGTGCCACGTGAGATGACACTATGCCGTGTGCCACGTGAGATGACACAATGGAGTGTGCCACCTTTAGAATAAATCATTAATGCCATTTTCAGGATGATTTACTAACGTGTGCATTGTCTAGAAGTCAAAGGTTTACTGCGAATTGTAATACTCTGTTACATGAGTATACATTGCATATCATTGTGAGTTTTATAGCTGTGGAGCTCTGTGATACACTCATACATTGTCTATTACTGTGATGTTTATAGCTGTGGAGCTCTGTGATACACTCATACATTGTGTATTACTGTGATGTTTATAGCTGTGGAGCTCTGTGATACACTCATACATTGTCTATTACTGTGATGTTTATAGCTGTGGAGCTCTGTGATACACTCATACATTGTGTATTACTGTGATGTTTATAGCTGTGGAGCTCTGTGATACACTCATACATTGTGTATCAATGTGATGTTTATAGCTGCGGAGCTCTGTGATACACTCATACATTGTGTATCAATGTGATGTTTATAGCTGCGGAGCTCTGTGATACACTCATACATTGCGTATTACTGTGATGTTTATAGCTGTGGAGCTCTGTGATACACTCATACATTGCGTATTACTGTGATGTTTATAGCTGCGGAGCTCTGTGATACACTCATACATTGCGTATTACTGTGATGTTTATAGCTGAGAAGGCACAGAATGACTCCACGCCTGTCTTTACACTTGGAGTAAATGAGAGACACGTTACCGTTAATAATGTGTGCAGAAATTAATTAAGCGACCTAATTGGTATATTAAAACCTTGCAATGTAATCATGCAATAATTACTTCATTATTTGATCATGATATAAAATAAATGAGTCCAACAATTACATAATTAGGTATGAAAAATAGTTTGGAGCTATTATTTATCATTTAAATAGATGCATAATTTCGACACAGATTACAGCATTTAAACTACTCATTAACCAGCATCATTGTATCTTTCTGTAACTTCAAAACAAAGCAGATAATGAAATGATATCTTTGCTGTTTAACTGCTCGATGACTGCATGGCCCTATAGATACGTTATAACTGTTTCAGTCAATGTGAAATACCTCACAGGGACATTGGACCAAATTTATATCTAATATATATCTTTATACAAAGTAGCCAAGCTGTGACGGGAGCTCAGTTAAAGTTTTAGTTTTACCGATTTTAGGATAATTTTTGCTACAGTAGGATGTTTAGTGAATATACCCCTAATTGTGCGATCTGATAAACAGAAAACACAAGTGAGACAACAGTGCCACCTGCTGGACAATCACATCATTGAACGGCTCACGCAGGTTTTCGGGATTATTTACTAACGTGTGAATTGCCCGTAATGTAAAGGTTCTTTTAGCAAAACTCCTTCTGCAACATTTAAAAAAAAAAAAAAACCTTTTGTGAGATTTGAAGTTGTTGTTTAGTGAGTGAGGGCTCTGGAATCTGGAATTTGGTTCAGACATTGCTCTCGCAACTAAATCTCAGCATCTCATTTGGTAACATCCAGTGTCTGATTTAAAATAAATAATTCTCCCTCAATTAAATCTAGGATTCACAAATGTATCAAACACCAAATATTGTCTGAGCTGATTCTGAAACAAAAATGGTAGATGGTAAATTTGTACAATAGTAAACAGCCAATGCACGACGATTTAAATCAAAAGGAAAGTGTACAGGGATACTCCAGGCACCCGACCACTTCTGCCCATTGGAGTGGTCTTGGTGCCAACCCCCACTACCCTTAACCATGCAAGTGTAATTATTGCAGTTCATTTTGTACCCTTCTTCTTGACTTCGGCTGATGTTTGGCGATTCGTGTGTTTCACTAAGGGAATTATCTGGTGAAGCTATTGGAATTACTATAGGATTCGTCTACCTTATCTACCGAACGGAGGGCTATAATCACTAAGGCTCTGGAGGTTCGGGAGGAAACTACCGAATGAGGTTTAAATATACTTGGTTTCCTTACATCCTCCTCTAGTGGCTGTCTACAAGACAGCCACTAGAGGACACTTCCATGGTTTAAAACAACGCTGGACGTCCTCACGCTATGTGAGGACCTCCAGCGTCGAGGAAATCCCCAGAGGAAAGCATTGAAAGCATTATTCAATGCTTTCCCAAGGGGAGGTCTAATACACGTGCGCGGCCATTGCCGCGCAAGCGCATTAGATCTCCCCAGCCGACGTCAGCATCAGAGGAGCATGGGCGGAGTCTGACCTACCACCGAGGGACATTGGCGCTGGACTCCGGTAAGTCACTGAAGGGGTTTTAACTTGGGATCGGAGGTGGGAGAGAGAGGGGTACTACAGGGTCCTGCAGTGCCAGGAAAACTGATATGTTTTCCTGGCACTGGAGAATCCCTTTAATGGAATTAACACTTTCTCAGAGGAAGCCACCACAGTAGCTAAAATTAGAAGTAGGCCTTTACGTGGCTGTTAATTTGGTTGCTCTGAATTTGTGTCCATTTTTGCACCATCCAATCGTTGTTACAGATTGTAGCCATTCGGTTGTATCTGGACAGACTTGATCCGGACTGCATTCAATCTAATTCAGAGGCTGCATTGCACAATCCATGTATTTTGAGAACAATGTGTGGATGTTCCTGTCTAAATGCCTCTGGGTGGTACTGGGTTAGTTTTGATAATCAGGATTGGTGCCGTTAGGACTTCAGTAAATAACACCTGCTGTTTTACATTAAAATCTACTTGATCTTCTTTACTGCTTGTTTTTTCTATCTGTTTTTCTTTGGATACAGTATGTGTAAGTATGTGCTTTTTTTCACAATTGACTTCCAGCCTTTATGACAACTGTATTTCAATACATTTTACACGCAAATCAGCAGAATGTACGTTTGTAAGCTGACCCTTTTTTTTTTTTTTTTAAATTCTTTATTTTTGTCATTTTTCTTTTGCGTTTGGTTTTACGGTACAGAATTAAGAGAGGGTAGGGGGATACAACATTTCCTTGTCATATATACATTGCAAGCTTATTCAGTTTTTGAGATTTCATGTTTGACAATTCGTTGTTTGGGTAGGTGAGGGCAGGTTAGTCGTCAGGGTGCTGCTATGGCGTGCTTTGAGGACCTGAACGTCCCGTCAGTCTAGTGAATGGTTAGGCTTGTGCTGTCTTAGTCTTTGGTTCCTCGGCCCCTCAGGCCGGGTTTCAGGGTTTTCTGTGGGTAGGGAAGCTGACCCTTTTAATAAAAGGAATTTTAAAAAATGAATACACTTTTTTATTTTTTTACTTTTATTTCAGCTACAAATAGCTGAGGAATACATTAAATAAACGTATAGGCATTAATATCTTAAACTTGTGCACAAATGCATTTCAATCGTATCGATCAAATTCCTGTTAATCTATGTCGGAACAAATCGATCCGTCTGAGATTTACCTTTGGAGTCATTAGAATAGGGGTGCCCATTGAAGGTGTGTGTCAGCCTGGTGTCATGCAGGCCCCCCAGCTGACCTCAACATCCCACACCATGCAAAGAGTGCGTTCACAGCGCAAACATTTCTCATGATGCATGCATGCTGTGCTCCAAGACGACATCAGGGAACAGAATTGGGGAGTCCAGACAGGACCCGGAAATCTAGACTATCCTGCCACAAATGGGAAAGTTGGGAGGCCTGGGGTTCTATTATTGTCTGTGACAGTAACATCCCACAAAAAACACAACTTTATAGAACCTTTATAGTAAGTGTTACAAAGTGAACTATCTACTGTATAACCTAGAGCTACTTGTCGTATAACTATCCGTTCTAGAATTATTTGCTGTATCACTATCTGTTCTAGAATTATCTATTTTAAAACAATCCGTTTAGGCCCTGGGGAGATAGCACAGCTAAGCGGTCAAGGGCACATGTATGAGTGTGGGGATGTAGAAAAAACAACGAGGGAACCGGCTGATAATCTCTACAAAAGTAAATAGAGAGAATATAGTGTAATACAGTTTACAGTATAGACATTGCGCAAATTGAAATGCACTCACTGGATTTTGGACAAATTGAAGCTTGTAAGGTGCCTTCCCCGATAGTATGGGGGGCCTAGGGAAATCCCCTGGATGTTTTCACTCCAACACAGGACTCCGGGTGAAGTTTGAAAAATTGGCTTTAATTCAATATTAAAATAAGTTTAAAAAAGAATAAAATAAATATAAATAAGGTCCTACGCGTTTCGTCCCTTTAACAAAATAGGGACTTCCTCAGGGACCACAATATTAAGAAACAATTTGATACAATACAATCAAAGAACAGCCAGGTTAGGCTGTTCTTTGATTGTATTGTATCAAATTGTTTCTTAATATTGTGGTCCCTGAGGAAGTCCCTATTTTGTTAAAGGGACGAAACGCGTAGGACCTTATTTATATTTATTTTATTCTTTTTTAAACTTATTTTAATATTGAATTAAAGCCAATTTTTCAAACTTCACCCGGAGTCCTGTGTTGGAGTGAAAACATCCAGGGGATTTCCCTAGGCCCCCCATACTATCGGGGAAGGCACCTTACAAGCTTCAATTTGTCCAAAATCCAGTGAGTGCATGTCAATTTGCGCAATGTCTATACTGTAAACTGTATTACACTATATTCTCTCTATTTACTTTTGTAGATATTATCAGCCGGTTCCCTCGTTGTTTTTTCTACATTTTGCTGTCAAGTTGATCGCTAGCTGGGAAGCGATCTGAGGGAGGCTGTATTCATCTTCATTTGATAAGTATCTTTTGCATATATATTAAGGTGTATAAGGTACATTATTGTTGGTTGTTTTTTTATGAGTGTGGGGATGGATGCTTGTAATTGGTTGTATGTGTATATGGGAGTGGTTATGGGTTTGGGAGTGGGGTAGAGACCATGGTGCCTCTTGGGAGACGGGCCAGCAAACAACTTACCCTGACTCTGTTGCTCCTATTTGTCCTAGGCCTTGAAAACTTTCTGCTTGAGGATGGATGTGGAAGCAATCCTGTCTGCCCTCAGAGCTTCAGCTGCCCTGGATGGTGTCCTGGATGGTGTTCACCTTGTTTGGTCGCTGGTGTGGTTCCCCCCGGTGTCCAGGCCTCTGCTGGGGCCTCTTATGCAGCCACAGCCCCTATAGGCCGCACGAGCACGGGCCGGCACTCCAGTCCGTCTGCTCGCTTAAGACTGTAGGCCGCGGCCCGTTATCAGACACACGGCCTGCTCCCCCCGAGGTTTCCCGTACGCCCCCTGGCAATGGACAGTGGGACAGGGCGCAGAAGCCTGGGGTGCCTGGGAGGCCTTATTGTTCCCCCCCTTTGGTGTCCTCCCTGTCATCTTTGCTTGGGCCCCCTTCCTCTGTGGTCCATCCTGCCTCTCTGGTTTCTGCTCCTTCAGTTTTGGATCCCCCCCTCTGTGCCCCTCTCTCCTCCCTTCTGCCCCCCTCCCTCCTGTTCCCTCTGTGACCCCTGCTGGCCACCCTTTCTCCCCTGGTTACTTACCTCAGCTGCCCTCCTCTGCGGGGTGTGAGCTTACCTCCTCTCTGCTGCTTTTCTTGGGAATGCCCAGCAGGTGGTGCCTGGAACTCCTGCAAGGCTGAATACTGGTAAAAGTGGACTTACCTCAATCCTGACTGGATCTTCATCAATTCTGTTGCTGCGGGTGGACCTTTGGGCATCGACTGGTGGGTACGGTACTGTTTCTTTATTGCAGTAGGGGGGTCCTTCACTGGGGTGGTTCCTGACGGGTCTAAGATTTTTTTTGGATCAGTTGGAATGGAGGACGCAAGCATGGATAGTCAGTTTCGGTCGGTTTGGTCCCCCTCTCAGCAGCCAATAGGGGTACAGGCTGTTCAAGGGGGTCGTGGAGTTCCCCTTGCCTGTGCTTAGTGTCCCTGCTGGTGTTCCTCCTGCGATTTTGGGTACCACTGCATCTGCTGTGGTGGTTTCCCCGGCGACGGGTGAATCTCTGGGTATCTCCGATGTGGTGCGGGGGTCTGCTTATATGTGTTGGTCCGGGCCTCTGGGTTTGCACCTGAAGCAGGAAGTTAGGGAAAAAAATTTGTTGAGATTTTCTCCCTCCTGCCAGTGGAGGAGACTCTTCTGCTGGTGGAGAAGGACAGCAAATAATCGGAAAAAGACTAAGAAAAATACTGTTACTGAAAGATCCCCAAGATATTCAGAAATTGAATTTGAGCATTGTTTTGCTACCAGGACACTATTTGGAATGCTTGTCGTACCTATGGCAGGCTGGGGTGGTGGAAGTATGACGAGCAATTCCATCAACGGTTGGCGGTGCGCCCCTCAATTTCCTAGGACCAGATGGACATTGGCCTCTGGTTCTCCATTATGACACGCCCGACGCCGCAGCAAGGTGGTATCTCGTCTTTTCTTGGGGGTGCTGGTTAGAGGGATCCTCTGCCTCACCGGCCGCGCAACAGAGGCCAGGCTGTTGTTGGAAATTTAATGACAGTCATTGCAAATGGGGAGCATCCTGCCGTTTCAAGGACGAATGCTCATTCCGTCTCCCAATGTTTCAAGCAGGGAAAAGTTGGTGAGAAAGGGGATCTGACATCTAAAGGCGATGCTGCCGGTGGTCGTAAGCTCGCTGCGCCCGTGGCACCCCAGTTATAGGAATCGTCGGGCTGCTGAAGTGCTGTTGGACAGTTTTGAGCACGGTTTCTGGATTCCTTCCTTTCTTGGTTCGGAACCTTCGGTTGGTTCGGGATTTCCTGCATGTGGTTCGGGAGAAGCTTAGCAAGGAGGTGTATCTGGATCACATGGCGGGTCCCTTTAGCGACCCCTGTTTACCGGACTTGCGGGTCTCCCCCTTGGGCGTGGTGCCCAAAAAGGAGCAGGTGAAATACAGTTTGATTCATCATTTGTCGTACCCTCGAAGGGGATCGGTGAATGATGACATCTCTTCTGAACTCTGCTGGGTGTCCTATGCGTCCTGTGATGTGGCAGTCGCCATGGTCAAGGCCACAGGCCCTGGGGCCTAGTTGGCCAAGGCCGACGTGGAATCGGCTTTCCGTTTGCTGCCAGTGCATCCAGAATCTCATCATCTTCTGGGTTGTGTTTTTCAAGACATGTGCTATGTGGATATGTGCCTACCAATGGGTTGTTCCATATCCTGTTTCTACTTTGAGTGCTTCAGCACATTCTTGGAGTGGGTGGTTAGGAGGGAGGCTGGGATCGACTCCCTGCTGCATTACCTTGATGACTTTCTTTGTGTAGGTCCTGACGATTCTCCAGCCTGTGCGCTGCCGTTGTGGGTTTTGGGGGATGTTTTTCGATGCTTTGGCGTCCCATTGGCCTACGACAAAATGGTGTGGCCCGTCATGTGTCTCAGCTTCTTGGGCCTTGATATTGATTCTGTGGCGGGGGAATGTTGTTTGCCCTTGGATAAGATTCTAGGTATGCGGCGGGAAGTGTCTATGGCCTTAGGGCTGGCAAGCTGAATTTCACCTATAGGATCATGCCGATGGGGTGGGTCTTTAACAGGCACCTGACTGCAGCGACGTCCAGGGTCACTGGACCCCGGCACTTCATTCGGCTGACTCGGCCTCTGGGGGAGGATCTGACTGTCTCGGGTGCCTTCCTGGCTGCCTATGATGGCCTGTTCCTACTGGCAAGTGCCTGAGGTCTCTAACATGGACCTACACCTCTTTACGGATGCGGCAAATTCGGTGGGGTTTGGGGCAATTCTGAACTCTAGTTGGTGTGCTGCTTCTTGGCCGGACAGTTGGCATGTCTCTGGCCTCACTAAGAATTTGGCTTTCCTAGAGCTCTTCCCCATTCTGGTGGCGGTGGAGGTTTGGGGGTGCCAGTTTCGGGATAAATGGGTTGTTTTTCACTGTGACAATCTGGGGGTGGTTTAAGCTATCAATCAGCTGACTGCCTCCTCCCCTCCTGTAGTTCGCTTGCTTGCGAATGGTGCTCCAATGTTTATGTCTAAATGTGTATTGTAGGGCTGAGCATATACCTGGCATTCACAATGTAATGGCCAATGCTCTCTCTCGTTCGCAGTGGTCGGAATTTCGTGCAGTAGCCCCGTGGGAAGATCTGGAGGGGACTCCGTGCCTGGTGGAGATGTGGTCGCTTGGTCAGGCAGATTGATGGAATTGGTCGGTGGATCAGTCTCCAGGGCCACGTGGACTCGATACAGTAAGGTGTGAATGGGACACATTGGAGCATGATCAGGGGGGTGTTGGTACCCTGGCTGCCCGCTTCACAAGGCTTTTGCAGCTCTTGGATCACTGGGAGTCAGAGGGTAAGCCTCATTCTGCGATCTCCTCACGTTTTTCGGGTCTTAGCTTCCTGTTCAAGTTACGGGGTGGGAAGATTCTACCAAGGCGTTTGTGGTGTACAAGGCGCTGAAAGGCTTGAGGCGTCGGACTTCTCCCTGGGTGATGGGCACTCGTATGAATTCTGGGCCAGTAGGCATGCGGCTGTCCATCTGGGAGATGAGCTCTTGGGTTTTACTCCTTCTGAAGTGGAGGTTCGTTGGTTTGGCACCAGAGCTGGTTCACCTCTCCCGCCTTCTGAGTGCATCAAGCACCTAGTTATTCACCTGGGGTTAATGATCTTGGGACAATACCTATATGAGGGTTGTTGGATGCTATTAAGAGGGACTTGGCATGCGTTTTAGTTCTGTTTCCTGACGTGCGACTCATTTGGTCAGAGGTCATGTCGCGTAAATACTGGCAGTGGGGCCATAGTCAGAGAGCCATGGAACGCTGCCATAATAAATTAAATAGGATAGTCTCTAAGTTTGTCTTGGGTTGAAAGGGGTCCTGGTTCGCCACAGGCTGTTCGAACGGGAGGTGACTAATTTATTTTGGGGTGATGGCTTGCACCTCACCGAGGTCGGACTCGACTTTTTTAATCTTGCTATCCAGGAAGCGGTGAAACAGGCTTTGAGTGGTTTGGCTGGGGCCCCCCACTGATTTTAGGCGTCAAACAGCAGGGTTGTGGCGGGGGGCATGTCCTTGCCAATAGGTGTTGGGAGGCTATTACATTGAGTGTCAGGATATGGACAAGGTCTGGTCTCAACGTCCACTGCCCTGTAAGGTAAACTTTTCAGTTACCGACTTGGACGTGCCCACCAAGCTAAAAGCCAGCTGGTGGTAAGCATTGAAAGGAAAAGGGAATTTAGTTTGGACGAGGGGGGAGGCGCGAACCCAGTGGGCAAGTTGGTGCATAGGCACGTGGTCTTGTTCATTGGCAAGGATATTTATGCAAATTCTGTAGGGCCTAGGTGTTAATTTATACGTTAAGTTATGGATTATTTATGTATTTATTTCTAGTTATAATTAAATGATAAAGTTAATGAAGGTTGGATGAGTCCTATAATCTTATGTTTAATAAATAAAAATTCATC